GCGGCCTCCCCCCTCCTCCGCTGCGCCCGTCATTTCGCCCGTCATTTCCCTGCCAGGCACCCACGCGCAGACACAGCAGGCCTGGAGGTGGCATTTGAGGCTCCTCGGGAGTGACCGCTCCCGAACTCCTGGGCACCCTACACTCTCATCCCGAGTGCGGGGCCTGTGGGGGGGCCACCCTCTGGGTCTTTGCATCCACTGCCTCTCCTGCCCGCAGGCAGCCTTCTCCTCCCGTCCACTAGGCAAGCAGCTATTCAGATCGGAGCCTCGGCTCAGGGCCACGGCCGCCATGAAGCCCTCCCGGCTCCCTCCCTGCTCTGTGTAGACTCACGTCCCAGCACTTCGCGGATTCCCTTCCTGTTAATCCCTCCCCCTGGCCACCCCCTGAGGTTCACCACCTGACTGGCTGCGTGCAGGGGTCAGCGGGACACGTGCCGGTCACGTCACAGGGCGGGCAGAGGCCACCAAGCTCCTGCTGCCCCGACTGCCTTCGCCAGCCCCACCCTTCCCAGCCACACAGGCTGGCTGCCCACTTTTCAGACGAGGAGACTGAGGCTCAGAGAGCCAAGGCCCCTCTGGGCAGCCACAGAGCTCGCCTGACAGCTGCGGCTCTCCCCTTGCACCTCCCGCAGGCAGCAGGCCCGGGTGGGTTCCCCTGAGGCCCTGCAGGGTGGGCAGGACAGGGCCCCGCGTCCTGGTGGGTGGAGGGTCTGGGCGCTGGGCGCACGATGTGGGGACGATGAGGGGACGTGCCCGGTTCTACAGCTGAGCCCGGCACCCAGATGCTCGTCACCCGATGCTCCGGGGTCTGGCGTGGGAAGGCTGCTATTCCCATGTCCGGGGACGTGCGAGCTCTGCCCTGTGTCCTGTCTGTGAGATGCGGGTCTTGCGTGTGCCCGCCCACTGCTGTGAGGATGAAACGCCGGCCTGGCCAGGAGTCAGCCTCAGGTTCGGCCACGGCCAGATCTACGCGCCCAGCTGCCCAGCCACAGACTAAAAAAAGGGAAAACCCGGGGGGAGTCTAATGGCCACGAGGAAGCCAGCTGTCCTAGCGCAGCCGCCCCTGGAATCCGACAGCTGGGACCTCACTCTCAGCCGCTGGGGGCTGCTGGGGAGCTGGGGGGGGGGGGGGGGGG